ATCTCAACTGTCGAATCGAACTGACAACTTTTTCGCTGAAAAATTGTTGAAATGATTATGACCATGGCAGTGGGAGAGAAGAGCCTTTCCTTTAATTGAATATCAGGTCGAACAAAYAATSAAACCAAAGCCAACAAGAGTTTATCAAGAGAACTAGAAAAAGTGCAGAGTGAAGAAAGTAATGGMATCTACAGCATCGACRTCGTCTTCCGAGATGGCATCTGCTGCAACTCCCACGGTTTCTAGCATGACAACAGCAGCTTCAGGCGCCAGCACACCCGCGGCGCCTGATGCGGTCCCGTTGCCTCCGGAGGCTTCGTCCTTCCCCTTGAAGCGAACCGTTGTAACAGCGAAACGAAAGGAAGAATTGTTGCTCCATGCTCGAGCGGAGCGAAAGCGATGGGTCCGGACCGTTCCCCTTCCGTACGACTCAAAACAACTAGCAAGTATTGTAGGGAACAATCGTGCCGAAGGAATGGGTGCCGCTGCGAACGGGACTAGCAAAGCCATCAACGAATTTTGGTCGTCTTACGATGGCTTAGATAGATTTCAGAATTCTTTGATCTGCAGCAGTCAATTTTTGCCGGTTGCAACGGCCGTGTTATCGGAACTCTATGGTATTGGCGGAACATTAGAATCTGATGAAGATGATGACGTTGAAGTAGATAATGGAAATAACAACGACGCCCTGAAGGAACACCGAGAACACCCCTTGAGTCTGAATGAAACAGCAAAGCGAGTGGAACAATTGGTAAGTTTGAAAGTTAAATGCGAGATACTTTGGTGCATTTCCAAATCAATGCAGATTTCGCATTTTTTCTCTCTATCGTACAGGATGGCAGCAGCGCAGGCATTTGGTTGCATGCAATCTAATATGGTTTTCTCCTCTTTTCTTTCTTCGAAAGGCAAATTCTTACTGGGTAAACGAGGAGAAAGAGAGTCACGGTAGTGATCAAAAGGTTGAAACGAAATCAGAGAAGAACATTCCGGACGCAACTGCTCAAAAGAATGGTGCCAGAGCAAACACTGGAGCGAATGACGACGACGATAAAGATRACAAATACGAAGACTTGAGAACGGCGTACTCAGAATTTTTGAACACGATGCTATTGCCTGAATCGGCTGTGACTGTGCAAGGAATGAAAAATTTTCTCCGGCAGTTTGTTGCATCGCCTCAAAGCACGAAACAATACAGCGACCACGAGCTCCAAGTGCGAAACATGGCATCCATGTTGAATGGTCACGCACGGTCTTCATACGAATCGTTGATTACAGAGAAGAACAGCAACAGCAACACCAGCAACACCAGCAACACGGGTGAAGGAGTACCGGATTGGAGCCGACGATCACTGGAATCGTTTTTGTATGGACAGACAAAGGAAACCGTAGACTCGATACTCGACCGGGTTCTTGGGAACAGTGCAATCGAACCCTCTTCGAGCAGTCCCTTTTCGATGACACAGAGACTGTTTGATGTGCGATTAGAAGAATTGCAATTTCTTCAACCTTCCCATTTGGACATCGCTTGCTTGAACGACGATGTCGATAACAAARATAGGTTGTCGGGATCAACGGCACCAACGGGAAAATCGGAATTAGAGAGTCTCCTTGAGGAACCAATCAAATCTTTGCAGTCTATCGAAGCGTTTTATTCCCCTTACGAAAAACTCAGTAGGGTCCTCGAGGTCTTTCGYGGGGTGAATGTGGCACTGTCCAAAACTTCTGAGGCACTTCCGTCGGCCGATGATGTCCTACCTACCGTTATTTTGGTCGTAGTGAAAGCTGCAGCGATAACAGCAAATAAAAAAATCAAGGCACCACCGCTGAGAAATTTGCTGAGAGATCTKTACTTTATCGAAAGTTTTGCCTTACCGGAGTACTTGAGAGGCGAAGCGGGATACGCCTTCACGAACTTGTACGGGGCTGTGCAATTCCTGCAAGAACTAGAACTGGACAGAGCCAACGATGGCATGACGAATGCCGGCCCAAGCAACTCTCTCTCAATCAGTGCGGAAGAGTTACGAGTCAAGCTAGAGAAAAGTCGAGCAGATGCAACGAAGTATAACAAAAAACGGCAGGCTATGCTAGGTACCAGCAACGACGATGAAAGGAAGTTGAAGGGACTCATATCTCAGGGTGTAGAGGAACTCTTGGGTGGCAACAATGATGGCACTGAAGAGGCAGRAACCTTTGTTCCAGCTTYGCCTCGGCTATCGGTGATGGAAGTCCGAGCCGCTCGCCTTCGCGGGGAAACGCTGAACCTGGAATGGGCTCGGAGACATCAAGAAGGCCAACCAACATACGGGGACCCAATGTCTAGAGATGGTACAAAGTTGGCATCATCACCAACAAAATCACCTTCAAGATCGAAAGCGCCGCAGCAAAGGTACTCCTTTCTAGGTTTACGACCAGAAAATGTCAAATTGTCAGATTTACCGAAATTGTTGGATGAATACAAAAGATTGGCACTGACCACCGAAGAATTACTGGGTGAACAGCAGCGATTGAACAGCAAGATTCAGTCGGAAAGAAARCGTCAGCGTGACGAAAAATACCGTCTTAGTTTAGGTGAACGGGCCTTGTTGCTTTGATTCTATCATTGGTCTATGAGTAACACTGTTGGTTTTCACCGCATCTAATGCATAACGCACGGCGGCCTTTTTCCAGTTTAACCAATTGCCAAGAGAAACATCTATTTCCAACGTTGCAATTTCAAACGAGACCGAACATCTAAAAGCACAATTTTCATATWGATTACTGACTTAGAAATCCAATTTCAAGGGAAAACAAATTGTTTACTTTTAGAGTTCTTMTTCATCTTCCTCTTCGCTTAAATTTTTGAAGATAAGGGAATTATTGAAGAAATCATCGTGTGCGGCTGGCAAGTTATTAGATGACATAGATGATCGATTCGGAATCCTGAATTGACGAGATGCAGGCACTTGYCCTATTTTTGCCTTTGGAATATCCTGCACAGATTGATTTGAACGGACAGAATCCGAAGAATGTTCCGTGCTACTTAAAATATGGTGCAAGAAACTATCGGTCTTCATTGCATCACTGCCAACAYWACTCATCACATCCGAAGTTCGAGTCAGACTCGTTTTATTGCTCTCGTATTTCAAGGGTGGCTCTTCCTCCCGAACACTCATGCCAATTGGAAWTTGGTGGAATTTGTTGTTGAGCTCTGACTCAATGGATATGTCGCGCACATCAACCACATGGCTATCGGGTCTCCTTGGCGACAAGTCGTCGCTACTTTTGGAGTCTTTCTCAGTGATAGTACTCATTAGAGAGGTAGCAAAGGGTYTCACTTTGAGAAAAGTACTTGTATCGGTCGGAGAGGAYTGAAACGACACCCTAGGTACACTTTGGGAATTTTCCTGCTGTCGAGGAGGATCGGATGCATTATTTTTGGGTAATTCGCTGCCACTCGATGCCGATAACCTCCCATCAGRCACAGCATGAATRTCGCTCTTCTGAGAAGTCTTCTGAGAAGAAAGACTATGCAATACAGGGTCAATKTTTCTCTCGCTCGTCCCATTATTCCAATAAGCATCGGGATGATACCCGTAAAACATGACCATCAAACCCTCATTGAACTGTGCCTGATAGTTGTTTAGGGGTACATCGTTTGGGACATTTTGAAACGGGTTCTCAATTTCACGTGCAACTTCATGCAGCCCTGTAAAGCACATCACACTTGCAAAATTCAGGAAGAAACCCAAAGTTCCATTCGTCACATATGTTGACATTAGCATGGGTGTTACGAGAAAGTCCACCACCAACATAAATAATGTTGTAATTTGGGCRTGGGGAAAGGGGAACGGAATATAGGCTATCTTTCTTGCTTGATTGTAACCGGCTAGTCCGTCGGAAACAAATTGATATATCCTCGAAATGATGGGTGGCGCAACGTCTCCAGTGCTTCCCGCTTGGTACTCGCGAGATATYAATTCAAGAAGCCACATGCTAACTAAAGTAACCTTTGCCAATGGCCCACGTGCTYCTTGGAGTTTTTCTATTTCAGCATCGCTAACATTCCCTATGACACGGAAGGGCCTGGCAGCGTTGTACAGAGTCCTAGCCTTGTCGTTACGGCTCCTTCCTAAAATATATTGAAGAACGGCGTATACGCGAAATTTAGATTGGTACCATCCTTTTCGAACCTTGCCTCTGTAGCTATCGGGATCCACGTGAGGCCAAGGCAAACCTGGTTCAAAAACTGTCAACGGCGATTCGGCTTCGGGCAAGTCGTTCCTCAGCGTTGAAAAGGCTACTGCAGACATCAGACTCATAAGATGTGCGCATTCCTCCAGAAAAAGTAGGGGGGGGATTGAATCAGGATCAAGATTCCCTTCACGCAAGTGTTTCCGTGAAACAGCCGTGAAGAGTGAGTATGGTTTTCCAGTTTTTGAGTCAAAGCGATCTCGAAATTCCAGTTGCTGTCCCTCCCGCAAAGCCGATGCTTTGGTTCTAGCAATCGACTTTCGTTTGCTATAAAAATTTTGGATTGCTGTTTTCCTCGTGTGCCTGGTTCGACGCCGTGGCGTTTGCCGTCCTACMCTTGTATCTCTACCAGACAAATTTACAGCATTAGAAGTCCTGTGTATGCCCTTCACGTTATTTAAATTCATAGGAAGGYTCTCAGCAAGACTGTCACTTTGATTCCGATGCTTTTCTTCTTTAGCCAATTTTCGCATCAACTTCGCTTCGGAACGTCGTTCTCTGATCTTCTTCAACCATGACCCTTTGGTCGAAGTTTCTTCACTTCCACTAGTGTAATGGCTCCTTCCCGAACTYTCAGTATAATAATCGTTCAMTTCCATTGCATTGTGTTTCCTCATTTCAGTCTGTTTAGCCTCACTGTCATCCATTTCCTGCATCAGATCCATCATGGTTGGACTTTTTGCGTGACGGATGAGCCCATTACGAGAAATATTCTGACGATTGTATTTCTTTTGTAATGGGAGTGCAGTTGGTAAGGATTCCTTTTCTGATACTGATACTGAGGGCAACGTATCATCGAAACTCATGTGGGGATCAGATCCGCGCTGATTCACAGTGCTCATGTGCAGGCCACTGTTGGTCAATCGTGAGATGTCGGATTCGCGAACATCTAAATTCTGGACTTCAGGATTTGCACCGAAAGCCGGCGGCTTGAAAGCATCGTATCGTCTCGACTGATAGTGGAATGCTGCAATTTCAGTTGCGAGATCTAACCATTTGGAATGCATAAGGTAAACGGCTGTATACGCTTCCCACCAACGATTGTAGCTTTTAAAATAATAGAGCGCGAGAATTACGGCAGCAATCAAGTATCCAGAAGTGCACCAGCGAGATGTAAAAAAGGTGGTGCGAAGTGTGAATGTATTTTATAATATCATTGGATACCGTCCTGTTTGATCCCAATTCCTCGTTTGGCGTTTCTCGTTGTTTCACTCACCTATAATTGGCTCTAAATACAAGCAAGAACGTGAATGCCGTCACCAAGGCTTGCATCGGATAAGGGTGCAGAAAAATTTCACCCAAATCATGACGTTTTTTCCCAACATGATATATGATTTCATATATAATTGTTGATATCAAAGCAGGCAAAACGCTTTTCCARAGCGCACTTCCATGAAATCTCCATAGAATCCGTACACCGAAGGAGGAATTGACGTATGGAATCATGATTATCGGTTACTTCCCTCCGACTTGTGGTGCCGACTCAGTAATCAACGACACAAAAGTGTGTTTCGCTCGATCACTCGATCGCTCGCACCGTATTACGTAGTAGTTTTTCTGACTTCTCTCTACCTTTTCTCCAATGTTCATTTGATCATTTTTAAATAAATGCAGYAATAGAGGGTTGCTCGAATTGCATGCCCTGAAAGCATGTAGTGGCGAGAAGAAAAGGTTTTTCGCTGCTGCGTTTCGTTGAAGGATTACGACAAGCCGCCATTCCACATTCCACAATCTCTCGAGCCAACGAGGATGTAGAACCAAARACTATTGTTTTTTAAGTATCAAGCAATATTTTCCAAAATGAGACTAACTTATTCGATGCATCCTGTATTCAAACAGACCATTGTAAAGAACCCTAGCATACTTCTAGTAGCTACTTCAAGTACTAGTACTAGCAGTACTAATACTACTACAAGAAACAATATTGAAAACTACCAACAGCCATTTTTCTCAGCAAACTGCACTACAACATGGTAGTATCATGCTATTTGCTTCTTAGTAGTACACTCACCATGATGATTGGGCTGCTAACAAGAAGGCACCACAACTTTGCTTTTTCTTGCATAGTACTAGAACCAGGTTGAAAGCTGGGCTAAAAGCTGTTTCAAATACTTCCCCTGTAACTTCTTCTAAGAAATAGTTATTTCTTATTTCATGATTAAAATAATTTGAATAGTATTTGTACTACTAGTAGCAGCTTCTTCAGCAAGCAAAGCTGTCACCAGGAAAGGCAGCATGTCAAACACAGGTAAATAGATATACTAAATTGGGACCTCTATGGTTGTTTTGGACACAAATGGCAGAAATAACAGKATTACTGGAATAACTGGGGCCAGATAATGCAAGGGATCTGGATCTGATACTAGGTCCACACTTGGGAGGGATTGTGAGTTGGGTTGCTGTTGTCCTGCACAAATGTTGGAAACAACAGCAATATGACTGGAAGGTATAGATATATCTAGAGGAATGTGAACAAAGGAACTACTATCAGTACTAGGGGAAAGAGAGGGGTTTATAAGATCAGTAAAGTAATAGAGTGCTTTGATGCAACAAGAGACTWGACAGGAGGATTCTCTCCTTTCAAAGATGGATATCACCATGATGGTTCCAGGTGTTGCAGATGTCAGAGGTATAGGTCAGGTATGTGTTTGTTTAGAACTCAGTAGGAAATCTAGGGGATAATTTTTAAAACCAAAATGTAAGTTTGTACAAAAGGAAGAATTGCAGTGCTTTTGCAAAAATTCTGTTTGAAAAATATTCTTTTCTGAAGATAATATTGTTCTTCAAGGTCACTGCCTTTTAAAACTGCATGCCCATAGGCTGCATCACTCTCACTTGGATTTCGAGCCTTTGGTGATCAGGGCAGGCACTATTTGYGTTCCAATTGGCTGATTGCCGCTTGATCTTGGATGTCAGTGCAGATACAAATGTGATAAGTTCTGGTTGCACCTCCATCAAAACTCTTTGGAGGGAAGTGCCGCCCCTCGGAGCAGCTAGAAGCATACTTTCCACCAAAAGCTATGGTTCTGGCCATATAGCGCCTCTTCTAGTTCACAAGGTTAAAAATAATATCAAGATTTTTTTTTAAAACAAATGTGATAAGTTCGATCATTTGGGCACTCTCTAATAATGATGAGAGTATTGAGAGTATTGTTGTAGGCAGCGTAACAGCCATATKTTATCTTGGAAAAGGGCCTCCATTCGCATCCTTTCAATCTACAATATTAGAAAAATCACCTTTAAAATGTTTCTGTTTGGTTATTTTTTTATTATCCGCTTGCGTATTAGAACGGAAATTTCCGTTTTATCTTCCTCGCTTCCTCGCTGTAGTCGAAATCAGTGCCTGCTGTAGCGGTGTGTTTTATTGTATTTCAAAAGTGTCTTCTGAAAAGTAGGAACAACTGAGCGCTGTCGAAACAGAGATAGGKTGTGATATTAAACTAACGGTTACCATTTGCGCACGATGAACCTCAAAATCCATTCTCCTGCTTAAAACYAGTCTATCCACGGATTCTTTCATCGTGTTCAATCGGCGAGCAATTCAAATTATATTCTAGTCAACACTTTGATATYATTTTTTCAGWATAATCTACCATAAGGTATCGTCATCGTCCTCATTCAGTTCCAACCATGGCTTCGGCAGRGGACATGACCTGGTCCCTGTGAAATGAGACACGAAAAGATCATTCAGTGGAGCATCGCGGAACGTCATCCCTTCTTTAGGACTCTKAAACTCTCGAGTAGTATCGTTCATAGCTATATTCCTGCATTTCTTGTTGTACTCTGTAGGGGTTTTGCCATCTTCGCATAGATGACTGACTGGATACGCGTGCTCGTTCATGATTTCACCAAGCAGTCGGTAGTTCATTAGTAGTGGCCCATAGAAATGCTCTTCCCACCACAATTCCATGGTCTTCTCACTTATTGCATCCCAGTCAATTGCTCTATCGAGCGCTCTATGAAACTTGTAATCAATGTTATACCTGACACTGATATTGTCCATCGCCATYACACATACCCGATAGTTCTCTTCTCTCATTTCTTTCTGAGTAGGCAATGCTCTCTGTCCCGTTATGTATCTCACCATCATCCATGCGGCTATGTCAATTTCGATYAAGGGCGTATCGGTAAATTGAAGTAAAAAGAACATCATGTTTGGATTTTCAGTCGATATGCATCCGCGGTATAGCTTAGGGTAATCCGAGTAAAAATAGTCTGAAGCTTTATACAGATATTTTGCTGGTTTGACATGCCCAAAGTCCTTTCCCACTGTTGCGTCAAGAAATTTGCTTTCCTTCATTCTCCAATCGTCCGGGACTGCAAAATACCAATCATCATCACATTCTTTAGCGTCAACTGCTTCACTCAAGGAACTATCAAGCATGCTCAAGTTTGGTGAATACCCAGTACAGAAGATGACGGTGTCGATATTCTTCAAGATTATCTCGTCTTTCTTCTTCCAAATCTTGTAAGATTGATGATAGACATCTCGATAGACATAAGYTAGAGTAACTGTGTTCCCTTCCACTTTCTTTACAGTTGTGTCAGCGTATGGTTTAACCTTATTGTATGGCCATTGCTCGACGTGGTTCATTTCTTTATTTTCGCTTCGAAAGGTACAATGTATCTGAGAGACACCTTCCTTTATGGCCATCAGAGTTAAATCTTCTGCCGACAAGCCACCTCCCACGATCAAGACATTTTTGCCATCAACATCCCGTTTGAAGTTCGTCGTATCGCTAGAATGAACAATAGGACCCTTGAAACCACCTTTTCTGAAAAGATCAACAGTTTTCTGTGGCATATTAGGGATTCCATTGACTCCCCCAGCCCAGATGCACTTGTCGAAGAATTTGGTTTCTTCGATTCCCGAGTTTTCGTTTCTCGTGTGTACGCGGAATTTTTTGGTGTTGGCGTCACTGCCGTCACCTTCTATGTATTGAACATTCAATACGGTTGTACGGAAGGAAAAATATTTGTCGAAGAAGTTTGGACAATTTTTCGTGCATCGTCCCAGGATGTATTCCAAGACGAATTTCCTCGGAAGAAACGTTGGCATCTCGACTTTCCCGAAGTGGTCCACGAATGTGTAGTCTGGAAATTCGAACATTTCCTTTGGTCCGTTTGTCCACAGCGCCGAATACATGTTTGGGGTTTGGTTCACCGGTTTGGTTGAGATCTCGCACAAACCCGARGATTGGTTTTTCACGCTTCCCTCGACTTTCATCTTCTTTTGTTCGGGRCGCATCTGTGCGTTCTCAAAATCTTCCTCCTTYTTTTCTTCGGAAAAGGACAGAATGTCCGCCGGCCTGGCATCGGTATAGCTGGAGCCGGCGGATTCCGTCTCTTCGTGGATGCGATCGGATCTCCAAACTCCACCAGGCCCCGGCGCTCGTTCATAACAGGAGACGATYGGAAATCCGCTCACGTCGCCTCCACTTGCTAACAATTCCTTCTTCTGCATTTCCAGGGCGTGGCACAAAAACATGGCGCCAGGCCCTCCACCAATCACGGCAACCGTTGGAGGAGATAGGGGTTCGTTTCCCCCCACGGGTTCGTCAGTTGACATGGTATCAGGTGAATGCACTTGTGTTTTATRTTAGGATATCGAAAGAATTTGTACGGTTTTRTTATTGGCCCGTGTTTGTATCCCAGGAGGAAAGATAGTTGGTGCTGGGGAGAAGTTGCGCAATGAAAAAGCAGAAGGAATTCGAGATCCCAAGTGGAGAACGATGCTTTATCGTGACGATAATACCCGAGATGAAATCTCACTAGAAAGCACCCACGCTTTCATCGGCGTTWTGAGTTTTTCGACGAATCACGCTGCTCGTACCGTACGATATTTTGAATCTAATACAAAGAAAAGGAAATCCGTGGGCACCCTTMCTACAGGTACGTAGTACGTACGGATCCCGAGGTCTCGCATAGGTTTATCCCGGGTTCGGCAATGCACAAGAGTAATTAGGTGGTCCGGAGCAGTCTGTGACCGTTGAGTGAGCGTTGGCACATGTCAATTCATTTTTATTTAAATGATCGAGTCGGAAAAATGTCGACCTAATCATCGTTAGRTCGCTGAAAAAGAGAAAGCCAGGATAATACGCTACGGGAATGGTTCGTAGSTTCCTCGTACTCAATTCGAAAAGAAATACAGTTCGTATCTGTTAAAAATGAGATGACTTTCTTGCAGTCGTACGGGTTCATATGATTTATACTTACTTTAGATACAGTGATTCTTAGAAGAGTYAAGAGTCATTCTTTACTGCTAACGGCACTTTACCGTTCCCCAGTACTTTACGTGCTTACCACTTACCATACCATAAAACTGGTCTGTACGAGTACGCGTACGTAACTTACATACAGTCCAGAAGATTTCGTTCATTCCTGAATTGCTTTCTGGCTAGGGGGGGGGGACGGAGGAATTCTTACCACAAATACGGTATTTCTAATTTTTAAATGGAGGAGGATCTCAGTCTCGAATTCACTCATTCACGAGGAATTGATTCTCTGTCGTACCTGAAATTTGGGAACGATTCTGATCGTGCGCTGTTCGCTCTCCAAGTGTTATTGAAGTACGAAAAACGAAAATGGAACGGCAAAATCTTTGACGTCGCTGCTCAAAATACCCGGCGGTGTCGTTGCCATGTCCCAACCCGTGTCATTCGTTTGGTTCCTCATTAGACTCTGACAAACCATTGACGACAACAAAGCAAACCCTCACTACGATACAAACCAGCACACCCGACAAATTCAAAATGAAGTCCCCCATCTCGATTCTCAGCCTTCTGCTCCTGGCGGTCGTCGGATCCCAAGCATTCACCACGCAATCCTCCTCGTCGCTCCGAAMTTCTCCCCGAACCGCCGACACCCGACTCTACCTAGACATCGGATCGATGATCCGAAATTTCGGCAAGAAAGCCACCGCCTCCCACATCTTGATCGGTCCCGTTGRGAGCAGGACCGGCAGGGGTATGTTGCAAGAAGATGCCATCGCCAAGCTGACCGAACTCAAGGAAGAAATCAACAACGATCCTGAGAAGTTTGCCGAATACGCGAAGGAGTACAGCTCCTGCCGATCCTCCGCCAAGGGCGGAGACCTCGAGACCTTTGGTCCGGGAATGATGGTCAAGCAATTCGACAAGATTTGTTTCGAGGACGAAGTCGGTGTTGTTCACGGACCTATCTCTACGGCATACGGGGAACATCTCATTCTCGTCCGGGAGAGAACCGGCGACGACAAWTAAATGCGATGGCTACGTTCGATTCCCGATCGCAAGGTGCGGCACGGGGTGCGAGACGGCCGTTTCTCGAAGTTTCGATGKCATTGCCACACACGCTAACGCATGGATGTGTGGCATACCATGYATCGACACCAGYAATAGTAACGTACTTTTATTGTATGCCGCGTGCATAATTAAGATCTCCGTTGACATACATAASCACCAGTTTCCGTACGCTCTGACGAGTCGTCAATAGCTCCCTGTTTCGCCCACACCCGCAGTGAATTTATGAATTTGCGGTCGCAGTATGCGCAACCAAAATCCCACAGGAGAGAGTATTAGCAYGGCACTCTATAGTAGCATGCAGGCATAGAATACTGCCCGTCCATTCAACGATTGAAGTTCTGTTGCACACGGCATTCCGAGTGTTTGACTTAATGTTCGATGACCTGTGTAGCAGAATTTCATTTGTTGATGAACGAGTGGTATTAGCARAGCAAAAGCAAAGCAAAGCATACTAGCTAGCACAGAAAGTGAGCATAAAAAGCWATCATTCAAAGCTAGCGTAGAACGCCAGAATGGYATGCTTGGACGGCATGCTAGCATCGCATGCTAGCACGGCATACTAGTGCAGCGCACACCGGCTCAACCGGAACCCTTTGGCTCTAACACGCCGCAAAAAAGCGCGTCCGTGGATGCAAGGCCCGTCCGGCCAGGGGAAAACCTTGGACGAAACCCCGTGGCAACGCATCGCACGGAAGACCGTGTGCGATGGGCACCTCGGCTTTTGGTGTTGCGTTTGGCATCATCCTAATGCATTGCATTACATTGAATTGCGAGAGTGATACATCGCGGCGGTGTTCTAGATACAGTATTTTTAGTTTAGTTTTTCATAGTGTACAGGACGGAAACTATTGCGGTCAATAGATCGTTCGTTCGTTCGTTGCGTTGAGTGTTGTTTGTTCGGTCAGCGTTGTTGGTTCGTGGTTGGTTTCCTGTACACTACTATGGTATGGTATGGTATGGTATGGTGTGGTGTGGTGTGGTGTGGTGTGGTATCGATCGTTCTCGGCTTGCTTGTTGGTTTGCTCGCTGGTTTTCGAGCCATTCCGATACGGTTTTGGTGTTCGTTCCAGTTTTGTTGTTGGTACAGTAGTGTGTGGTATGTGCATGTTTCTGGAATGGTCCGTGGTATTTCGTTTGTTTTGCTTCGATGGATTTCGATTCCCTCTGTGTGGTATGTTTGTTTGTTTCGATCGCTGCTTGTTTGTTCGTCCGTTTGTTTYATTTCGTTGCCTCGATACAGCAGCAGGATCGCAGTTGTTTCAGTTTCTTTGTTCGGTAAAAATGGTTGTTCTTGTATTTGTACATCGGGTGCGTCCGTAGTGCATTGCATCGCATCGCATCGCGGGACGGGCAGGCCGCGTGGTCGGGTGTCCAATCGTGCCGTCTTCGGGCATCCTCGCCGGCCACCTGGTGACAGCCGCAGCTGCGGTTGCGTGCGTCCCGGCCGCCACCGCGAGGCCCTCGCCTCSCCTCACCCCGGCGCCGCCGCTTCGCTCAGCCCGCAAAGCCGTCMGGCTTGGCGTTGGCAAAGAGCTCCCGGTAGAGGGACTTCCTGGAGGATGCCGGGGTCGCCGCCACCTTCCCGGCGTCGACGGAGAGCTCGTTCCCGCTCGGGACCGGAAAGGCCTTTTCCAGCGCCTGGGCCGTCGACCGGCGGTAGGCCTCTACCGTGACGCCGCCGGCACCGGCCTTGTTGCTGCTGTTGCCACGGTCCCGGCTCTGGATCGCCCCGACCACCACCCCGGCCAGCTCGTCCCTCGAGAGCCCCCCCCCGACGGTGTCGCCCTGGTTGAGCTCGATGCCGGCGGGCCCGTCGATGGACTTTCCGTTGAGGAGGACCCCCGGGCGGACGATGACGTACTCGCCGCCGGAGGAAAAGACGGCCCGGGTCGCCTGCTCCCCGTGGTTCTTGGCGTCCATGATGCCCTGGTAGTTCCCGCCCAGCGTGTTGGTGACCTTGTAGCTCTTGGAATCGGGGCGGTCCACGGCCAGGGCCGAGACCAGGACGAAGAGGGCCCCGAGGTTCTTGCAGGCCCTGGCCACCTTCTCGACGCCCTCGTCGTCGACCTGGAAGCAGTTCCCCCCCTGCCGGCTCGCCGACGCCGCGTAGACGACCACCGAGGGTTTTAGGGCCGCGAGGCCGGCCTCCACGGCCTCGCCCGGTTCCCTCACGTCGAAGGGATCGGACCGGTGGGAGAGGCGCTCCCGGGTGGTCTCCGGGAGCCGTACGATCGCAAAGGGATCCTTCCCGCTGCGGGAAAGGGTCACCGCGTGCATGTTGCCAAAGGCCGGATCGGCGAGGGCCTCTGCCACGGCCATTCCGGTGCGCCCGCCCCCTCCGACGATGRCCACGGGGTGCTCGGGGGTCCCGAGCGGGGTCGAAAGGGAGGAAGCGACCGAGACCGACGACGAGGACAGGGACGGCGAGGAACGSACCCCGGCGCTGGCCCTCGCTTTCGCGTAGGAGGCATCGCTCGAGTATTCGTTCGTGTACCCGCCCGGGTATCCGTACTCGGCAAAGGCGTGCTTGATGTGGCGGGTGAGGACYCCGCTCGTCAGAACCCCCGCGGCGATCGTGGAGATCATCCGCCTCCGGCTCTGGACGCCCGGGTTCGTCGGAAGAACCGCACCGGAAGACCCGTCCGATGTCTCGTCCGGCATCGCTTCGGCGTCCGTTTCCCTTTTCGCGATCTCTTCGTCGCTTCCGGCCGCGGACAGAACCGTTCGGCTTCCGGGCCGCTTTTCCGCTCCGGGGGTCCGGGCCCGGGGGCCCCGCAGGGGTCTCGGAATCCTTGCGGACGGCACCGAGAGGGCCTCCGCAGCGGGAAACGGGGAGGCCAAAGAGCAGGACGGGGACAGCGGCGAGGACAGCGAACCCGCCAGCGACGAGATCAAGGCGAGGCCCAGGAGGCTTGCCGCTCGCGACAGAGACACGGTAGAAGGCGGCGGCACGGCCGCGTCGGATTGTTTTTGGGTGTGGAAACGACGAAACCGCATCGTGGGGTGTTTGTGTTTCTTTTTGTGTTGCTCTTGTTGGAATAGAGGTGTGGGTGACGCTGCCTTCTCGTTTGGGGTCTTGTTTATTGTGGTGTGGTGCAGTGATGCAATGATCGTTTGGAATGGTGGTCTTGCGGTCCCAAGGCTATGGCTGTTGCTGCACKGAATGTTGTAAGAGTGACCGGGTGTGATGTGACACCACCTCGAGAACACCTCKCATCGRAAAAAAAAGGTATCCCCGCATCAGCACGATTGCTCGTACAGATAAGTACCGGACCATACGATACGAACCTACCCGTCTTCGCCTGAGGTTTCAAAAATACCGTACGAAAGAACAAAACCCCAAAACCAGAAAACAGGAACAGGTGACGATGGCGGTGAAGCCAACCAAATTGTTCGCACCTTCTGGGTGGCGGGGCTCGTTTCTTTGATTTTTGACACACCCAAACGCGAAGCTCGTGTTCGGGCCCTCCGAGAGCATTGGCGTGCATGGCGTAGGGTGCAGTAGGATGTTGTACGGGAAATCCCGGGGCCCGACCCACTCGGGACTCGGGGGGGGAGAACAATTTYTTTTTGGTTCCTGCTGCTGACTCGTCCCCGGTGACGGTAGTCATCTGCGCTGGGTTCCCACCGTTGCGCCGCACGATCCGGCGCTGACACGGTATCGTACGATACTCGTACGTACGCAAGCACTGTACTGTAGTGCACTGTATGAACTACTACCAACAACTACACATGCCGGTAGACAATTGACCCGGCCACGACCGTTGGTGGCTCGTGCAATCTGACTGGATGGATTCTTGGTCACGCCGAATTTCATTGGCCAACGAACGAACRTCAAGAGTGAGTAGGATACATAGGGTACGTACCCTAGCAGAACTCGTAGAATTCGTTCCGTGTTCGGCTTTGCCTCCGTTGCCAATGACGGGCATCGATCAAGAGGAACACAGAACAGAAGCGATGGGCAACAGGCACCATCACTCGAGATGAGCACCATGTCGTACGATACCATAACTACCGTACGGTACTATCTACGATGGTAACCAAATGGCAGGGATCCCGGGAATGAAGCCAGGAACCCAGGCAGGAACGCTTGTAATTGATAGAAGTAGTACCGTAATATATTAGCCATGAGGAGGAGGAGCACGCAGTATGCAAAATTTGACCAACATTCAAAGAATTGACATTGTTGCTACTAATAATGGTAAGCTATAGTATTAATACTAGTACTACTAGTAGCCATTGCATCAAAGAAACAACTCTAGTAGTAGTATTTCTCAGGTCTGGTGGCAACCATGACACCAAGAACAGTGAGGAGGATAGTGGTGGTAATAAGAAACTCTCATTCCCCATGCACGCCCAAGCTATTGCTACTACTACTACTGGTGAAACATGTCTTTCACATTGGTGTGAGGATAACTACTACTGCTACTACTATTAGCAGTCAAAAATACTGCACAGCTGGATGAGTTGTTTGTTCAGAATACTGCTACAACAACGTCACATAACTCTGTACGTTCTTCTGGGCAAACAGACACTACTAGTATTACTACTCGCAGAGGTAGCAATGATGCGACTCGGAGTGCCGCNGATACCATAACTACCGTACGGTACTATCTACGATGGTAACCAAATGGCAGGGATCCCGGGAATGAAGCCAGGAACCCAGGCAGGAACGCTTGTAACCGTTGAGTAGCACCGAAATTACATGTATCCGCGCACTCTCAGTTACTGCGCGTTACAAAAAACTAACACTAACAAACACTAGTTATTTTTTGCTTTAGTACACGCACAAAAAGCTGGTTACACAGCGCGCGGACTGAATTTTGTAACCATATTTGTAACCAAACCCTTCCCTATAGAGAGGCCCTTCTTTTCTCCACGATATTACTAGTAGTGTGGTTACAAAAAAAAGTGGGTCTGGTTACAAAAAAAAGCGCACAGCGCGCATTTTGCACCTCGTCAACAGGTACAACACTAAAAACAAGCTGTCTTGGCTGGTTGCTCACAATTTTCAGTACTGAATACTACTACTAATACTACTCTGACCAAAATCGTGACCAGTTTTCGATGAAAACTGATCTTTTTTGCTATTCTAGTACAAACTCAGGTAGAAAGTACCGTAGAAATATTGATTCGCAGGGGAAACCAAGCAAAACACCAGCATCCGTATCGTATCAGCAGCTCCTCCGTATCAGCAACTCGTATCAGTGTACTCCGTATCATCGAGCGTCCTCCGTAATAGCGGCTCCTCCGTATCGTATCAGCGGCTCGCTCCTCCTCTGTATTGTATCAGCGGCTTGCTCCTCCGTATCGTATCAGCGGCTCATTCCTCCGTACCGTATCAGCATCCTCCGTATCAGCGAGCCTCCATATCAGTACTATCCTCCGTATCACCAGCATCCTCCGTATCAGTGACGATGAGCGTCATACGTAAAGCAGTAACCTCGAGCGCACGGATAAATGTAATTCCGGTGCTACTCAATCGATTATGTAAATAACTGTGGCATCACATTGGTCCCACGCCACAAGTATCTTCAACAAGCTTTCGAGCTAAAGCTCTCAAGCTTGTTGAAGATACTTGCAGTAACCTCACTTCAATCTCGAGCTAAAGCTCTCGATCTCAGTGATGTTACTGGTGTACCGAAATTGTAACCAGAAATTTGTACCTGTGGAGCGCCGTGTTATTACAGGGCAAGACACAGGACAGACCACGGTGGACGCGTGTGGATACCCACGCGAGGCCCACCCGTGACTGGCCCAGTCGACTCCTCCCGCACGTGCCGCGACAGAGTACACTAGGTTACATGATACGACGATACGATGATATGGACTAGTAGGTACGTAGGCAGCGTCCCGCGCGGGGACCAGGAGACGAC